ACGCAAAAAAACGAAACGAAACCGGACTCGCCCGAGAAAAAAACAAATGCCAAACGCGTCAGACACGTCAGGTGCGTCAGAATTTTACATCGGACGTCTCACGCTTCGCGGTGCAACCGATCGCATGTCAGAATTTTACATAGGACGTCTCACGCTTCGCGGTGCAAAAACACTAACGTGGACCTTTGCAGATGCGAGACTCGGTGCCGCGGCCGATAAGCCTTAGTAGGGTTGTTTGATATATATATAATGATATATAATATATATTATATATATACAGGGTAACCGGCGTTGGGGACGGGCCGAATGCCTGAACCCGAACGCCCGAACGTATGGGACCCCTTGGGGATGCGTTCGGCCGTTCAGGCCGAACGCGGACCCAAAAAAAACAAAAAAACAAAAAAAAATCTGAAAAAAAGATATGTTATGAAGAAAAATGAACAAAACAAGATTTGCCCGAGCATTACATCCAAATTTCTTGCCAAATTAGAAATAAAAATAAAATACTAATAATAAAAATAACAAAAAAAAATTAAATTAAATTAAATTTAATGAGTTCGCGAGCACGTTTTCGACACCGCCATCTTTGGCGATTTTTTTTTTTTTTTTTTGGAATCGCTAAATGCCCTGAAAATTTACATATGTGCACGTCACATAATGCAAAACACACTCGAAAAGTTTCAAAAAATACTAAAATTGTTTAGACCCCGAACTAAAGTGAAAACAAAAAGTAAAAAGTGAAAAAAAACGTGGGCAAGCACGTTTTGACACCGCCATCTTTGGCAATTTTTAATTCTTATTTGGCTGAGCCAAATGACTTGAAAATTTATAGGCGTGTACCTCACGTCATAGAGAACTCACAAAAAAACATTCAGAAAAAAAAAAAAATTAGGCCCCGAAATAATTTTTGGCGGGGGCCGAACGCCCGTACGTACGGAGGTCTGCCCGGGGACCTCCGTACGTACGGGCTGGTAACCCTGTATACATATATATTCCAATTACTTTTCAAGTACCCCCGGGTCTGTGCAGGCAAAAATCAGCCCCTTTTTTTTTTTTTGGGTGGAGGTTTTCTGTGGATGGCCAGAGGAGCCGAAGTCCAGACTTCTTTCTTTTTTCAAATGTTGGCTGTCAAGGGGGAGGAAGGGGGGGTTATAAACTGGTTTTTGCGGG